CCCTGGCTGACCCTTACCATTTTTTCGATGTACAACACAAACAGAACATCCTCTTTGTGGAGACCACTGCCGACGGTTAAAGGTCTTAACTTAATGCCAATTGCTTTGAAGCAGCACTTGCTATCAACACATGGTGAACGGATGGCTTGTAACAACTTGCCGTCGAGAGCTTCACGCCCATAGCTTCTGACGTATAAGCCGATCATAGGCTTTCTCCGGCTACAGAAGGCATGTCAACCGGATGGGCGAACTTCAGTCTCAATAATCTTACATGAGGCGTAGATGTGACCAGTGATGCCTCGACTTGAGCAAAAGCCATATCATTTTGTTTGCTCTCAATCGTATGCTTTCTAAATTTCATGCCTCATCCTCTACTAGAAGGCCGTTGTCGTTTTGTTGTTAAGTAATCAAAATGCAAAGTGCATATGCAACAGGTGTTGAGGAATCCCATTTCTATCTGTAACTCTCAGAAGAATCTCAATGATGCTGAAAAGTAAGTACTCCAAATCCAAACAAATTTATCCTTTGGTACTTAACTGCCATGCCTTTATTGTCTAAAGTGAAAAACAGCTTCTAACATTAGTAATACTTCAGACCAGTACATTCGCTCAAGCAGTAGAGAGGAAGTACAGGAGCATGGAGAAAACTTTGGACGAGTGGAAGCGCAAATCTGAAGAACTAAGTACAGAGTTGGCCATTTGCCAAAAAGAGGTGCGCTGCAGAGCCGCAGAAATATTCAAATTGGAAGCTGCATTGGAGGAAGCAACAGAAAAAGTAGATGCAAGTACTTTTATGTTCGATATACAGATATTCTGCAGGAAGAAGCGTTGCGCAGAGAAAACAAAGGCCTGACCGAAGAGTTGCATAGTATCAACGAACAGTTGGGACAAGGCGGAAGCTCCTTCAACGAAATGCAGCGGCAAAACCGTCGTCTGGAACTTGAAAAACAAGAGTTGCAAGTGATACAAGTTTGAAAAAGAAACATTTAAAGTTTACGGCATTTCGTGGTTAAACAATAACTTTTATTTTCATTTGGTTAAACAATAACTTTTATTACCATGAAAATTTCAATTTATGTCAGCAGCTCGTTCCTCTCATCACCCGCTGCAGCTATTGTGGTTATATAGACGCATAACGTGAGATTTATTCTATTTCAAATTTAAATTTCATTTTTACATCTTCAAAATAGTTTTCAGTTTGTTCAGTTGTTAATCACATCCGATACTCCATGAAATAATTTGAACACCGGAGATGCTGCGTTCGATTCAGCTAGACGGTAATCTGTGTCTTTTTCTCGGATTTCCTTGAGCAATCAATTTACCGGGGATCGTCCAGTCGGTAGAATCGAATTCACAACCAATGGGTCCAGAGTTTAAGCACCTACGAGGTGGGGGGGACGACTCGCCCTTCTTCCTTCCGATGTTAAGAAATAGGTGTCACTCTGTATTTCGAGAACAAGAGACTGCGCACGGCGCTCGTCACGTGGCTGTAAACTTTGCCTTTAAAATATGGCACTTCCGGTTGATAGCAAAGAACAGGAATCAGCGCCGTACTGTCAACTTATTGAGAAGATGGTCCTTAAAATGGCCTTAACCTGAAAGTGGAGGAAGACCAACGTTCCTTTTCTCTTGTCACCACAAGCGGATAACAAGCGCATTGATGAAATCGCATATATAACGTTTTTCTAACATTCCCTCTACCTAGAATGAGTCCTTTCTTAAACAGCGCAAGAAATGAGGCAGCAATGTCATTAATATTTGGTCTATAAGTGATATTGCCAAAGATATAGTGTCATTATTCTGATCTTCACCCTGCAGGAGGCATTATGACTCGAGAGCAGCTTTCGACTCTCCAGTATGAAACTCCTTTAGAGCGAAGAACTGCTATGTTGGAATCGCAGTCGCTAAATCATAGTTCAAACCCGAATCGAATTGAAGACCTTCCATCCATCCGAAGGAGTTAAATGGGTACCACTTCATGCAAAAGAAATAAGAGATTTCACCTTTGACTTGCCACGTAATTGCAGATGCTACTTTGAAAGTGAAGGTCTCTGAGCTGATGGCATAAACACAATGAGCGGATCCGCGTCATAAGCTCCGTGTAAAGCGGTGTGAGAAACGAAACCAATTAAGGAAGCGCAATGGAGATCGACATCCCAACGGTTACCCACTCTCATGTTAGTTTCATTCTTAAAAATGTTCAGATGATATTCCAAGGAAGAATCAGTCTTCACATATATCGGAAGACCTACACTTCCGTTTTGTAGAATGTAACATTATTTTGAATGAAAATTTGCAGAACACTGTTGAAGAAACTCTGACTCAACTCGAAGCTGAGGAAACCAAAGTTTCCCAGTACCAGCTGGAAATTGCACAGCTGAAACAGGATATGGAAAATCGGTTGAACGAAAAAGAAGAGGAGTTCCAAAATACGCGGTATGAGTAAACAATGATTTGTGAACTATGACTGAACACTTTGGTTGTTGTTTACACAGACGAAACCATC